ATGCTCGATGTACTGTGCTTCAAGATTTTGCTTCTTCTGTTGTAAATGTCCATGAATATTTTGAAGGAAGCCGCAGCTACATAGGTTCGCTCCACCGAAAAATATTTGTGTGTACGCATGTATTGGGGCTAAGAAGACCTCGAATTCCAAACCATCTAACTATGTTCAAGTTGCCTACCTACCTATCACTTTCCTCGTAGATCTCGGTGATTGGTTCACCTTGTTTCCTCCTGACTGTCCGATCGGGTCTACTATATTTCCGTGCCAGCTTATTTGTTGAATCATGGGATTATTTCATTTTCATTCTCTTGCAGCTTTTTCTGCTGAAGTTGCCAGGTCTTCTACTTATTTCCACTTGTCGGCTCTAATGGTCTTCTTCACTCTTTTGTCTGCTTTTCCTGTGTATATTCAACGTGTGCTTTGGCTTTCTCTGTTCTGGTTCGGCTGTTGTTGACTGAGCTGTCAACGAAGATCCGTTGTTCATGATGGTGTTTTTTGGAACCCAAAACCCTTTGACATGCTGAAGTTATTACTTCTTTAATCTCTCTCTCTAGTTGCTCTCTCTCACTAACCAACCACCCAGTCAGTATCCTCTGTTTCTGTGAGTGAATTGAGTCCTTAACCGTTTATTGAAGAACAACTACTTTCAATTACTGTTCAGTGCATCTGTTAACATACCTAAGGATATACAAATGTTGTAGAAAAGATTGTTTTATAGTAATACCTATATAAATATACCTGAATACGCACGCTAGTAAAGATGTGTCTGATTATAACATTAGTCGTATCTTCAGGTTGTATTTTAACCACCATTGACTTTATGCAGTTAATAAACAGAGCTTGGTGATGAACACTAAAAAGTAGAATTTTACGATAGTTGCCTCCTATCGCTGTGTACAAATCCGAATCATTAGACTTGGTGATCGTGTTAAAACATTCATTGATGGAGTTTTATCAGCACTATAACTTAGATAAACCGACACATTAGTTGCTGTCCAATGTATTAACGCACCTAATCTAGTTCTACGTGTAGTTGGTACCAATAATTACTGAGGAAAAACTATTATTTCTATCTATGTACCTGGTAAGAGAATCTGTCACATATATTTGCACATAATGAAAGTAAACACGAATGCTCATTAGTAGTCAACAGGAATTAGAAATCGTGTGATAATGCTAACAAAAGGGGAGAAAATTACGACAGGATATAAAAGCAAAATAATATAGGAAAAAAAAAGTAATAATGAGCACGCAAAATCAACTCATTTTGTAACTTGAAGTCAACTAGAAATGTAACATGACCCAATGGTGAAAATATTGAGTTAATAAAATTGTACTACTTATAAACTTTGTTAGTATGCAAAAATATAGTGACAATTTATAGTGCGAGAGAACTGTACGATTATCCATGTACAAACAGAACAATATCATGTAGCTAGAAAAGTTGATGTATTTCTGAAACGAAGAACCAATAATCATTACCCCGTACACGATGTACACTTAAACATTTAGTCCGGAAGCACAAAGAAAATTCTCTCAATGGGAACAGTTTATTTTGTAGATGATGTTCGGATTTTCTTTTGTCATTTCATCCTTTGCTTTATGGAAGATTTATTGGAATAGTTTTGCTAGTTTATGTGCTACACATGTTCTGAACTGATTTAATAATATCACTGTAGTTTTCGACATATCTTTTATGCATGTTAGGATGGTCCATTTGTTAATTTATATATTTGAGTTCGTTTTTGTTGATAAGTTTGTATTGACATCGCTTGGTGAAACTACGTAGATAGATGTTATTTTGAAACATAGTCACTAAATACTTTTCTTCCTTCCTCTGAGCTGTGTTTCACAGTGTGTTTTCGCTCTTTTGAATAAAGTTTTCACGCAATTTATTTTGTGAGTTCTTGGGTTATGGCTACAGTAGTTGAGAACTAGATCTGCGTGGGTTGACTTCTGATATACTTGAGTCTCCAGTTTCCCATTGTCGGCCCTGATGATCAATACATCCAGGAATAATAGTTCATTATTCGACTCCTGTACGATTATGAATTGTATGCCATCGAAGACGTTGCTAATCAAACTGTAAGTAATTTCCAGCTCGTCCGTTTTGATGATAATGAATGCGTTGTCCACATAACGAATCCACATTTTCGGCTTGATCATTGGTAAGATCGAGGCTTCCAGTCTGAGCATCACAGCTACTGCAATAAGTCCCGATATTGGTGATCCGATTGGTGTTCCCTTCATCTGTTTGTACATTTTATTGTTGAAATGTAAACATGTTATCAAGCATAAATCGATGGTTCAAATGAGGTGAATAAGGCTGTTACTTTGAATGATATTTTAAGTTCGTCATTGTTGATTTGAATTGCTTTACTCTTATCTAAGAATTGTATGAGATTTAGTGGAGTGATTGGATGTATCCACTGAGTGCTTCAATATTCTTGAAATTTCTCTCGACAAGTTGTATGTTAGGGTTGCTTGGAGTAATACAATTGAACGTAGTGGGATGTTTGGTATATTTAGTTTTAGCTTACCATAAGATTGAGGGAGTACTGGTCCACTAAATTTCATTCGCCATTAATTTTGTTTCGACAGTTGTCCTGTATTGACAAGGTTGTCTAGAGTCTTATGGACTTGAATCCATTGATTTATATACGCTCTTATTCTCAAGTAGTTCTTCAGCTTTCCTTATATATTCTTTCTTGTCCATAATCATTGTAGCGCGTGGACGAATATAGGAACAAGAATCAGATCAAAGGGAGATACAATCAAAATAAAGATGCAGACAATAACAGGTTAAAGGTCAATAATAAACAACCAAGACCGAGGTCGATAGGACAATTCACTTCTATCTAAAGTCTGTCCTGATGATGCTGTTCAGAAGAACAATGAAGGTTCTTAGACTAAACAATCCAACTCAGAGAACGAAAATCCAGGAAAATAAATATCTTTTCGATAGTTATATTGTCGTTTTGTTAAACATAAATGAGTTGAATACTACATTAAATATTTATAACAATCAACCATTGAATGGACTTTTTAATAGGTGTTAATGTAGCTTAACTATGTGGCGCATTTGACTTCTGTTAGGGAGATTACAAGATTACTCAAATTTTGTTAACAATGATGAAATGTTACTAGAAATGGAAACTGCAAATGTTATTTTTCTAATTCAATTTTCTGAATAACCTTCACCTTTTTCTGATTGGTCAGCCTTACTCTTAGTTCTCTGGATTTCTGTATCACTGACGGTCATGTTTTTGTTACTATATATAAACAGAGTTGTATCATTTCATTCTGCTTTATTTGTTCTACTTTGAATAAAAAAATTTTCTGCTATTCATCATCTCGCTGTGTTATCGGGTAAGTGTTATGTGCTAGTCGCTGTTATCGATTTATGAAATAGACCAAGTTATTTTTGAGTAGCTCAATCATTTTCAATTTCGCAATAATTTTGAACTCGTATTGAATCCTGAAAATCGAGATATAACAACTTTCAAATATTGGGTTTCAAGTTTGGACGCCACTGTTTCTAATCTCATTTGAGCAGTTGAATAGTATATGATGTTTTTACGAAATATAGGCAACTTAGAGCATCTGGGCTACCTGTTCCTGCCATCTAGATATTTCAACAAGTTATCTATTTTTCTTTGTTTTGATATATCATTATGTTTATTAATCGCATAACCTATTCTGCTGTGTTTCTGAAAAGTGTACAACCTTTCGTTGTCAAAGTTACAAAAAACTCAATAAGAGCCAATGTTGTTGCTGGCAATATACAGCGAAAAGAATGCACCTTATTCAGATGTTCATTTACTGAACTGCTAACATCTAATTGGCGATCACACAATATTTATCGCCAGGACCAACCAAGAAGAAAGAAACGGAAACTTGTTGAAATACTTTGCGCTGGGAATTCTATATTGTACCAAAAATATAATATTGAATAAAGCAGATAATAATAATGAAAATACATATCGGTCATTGAGTTAGATTAATGGTTTCTGTAATCTGACAGTCATTAATTGAGTCATGGAGAGGCAATAGCAACCCTAAATGTCAATAACTATTAGTTGTTACCACCTCTAACGCAATTTATTTTTATAACGCAATTTTGAAATAGAAAATTGTAGTGTTCTTCTCATTGAACAAAATTGCTAATCAATGATGGATTGTTATTTACGTGCAAATACTGAATGACACGCATTAGATCTGTTACACCTAGATGCTTGTATTGGACAACATAAACCAGAAAAAAGAGACCTGAAGAGAATCTATATTTTAAGATTGCTCTATAATGTAAAGGTAGACGAGTATGTCTCAGGATTATTTTCAAGACGACATCAAATTTACCAGTGTGTAGAAAGCCATTGAGAAAAAAATGATTGCTCCGGGTTCTATATGATTTTAATGACAGTAATTCATTTGTTTATTTTCATCATAACAGCTTTAAAATGTTAAAATTCTTATAAGCAGAGATGGATGGTGGCCAGTAGTGGAAGCCAGGACTCGCGTTTCATCCTATTTAAGACTCGTCAGATGGATTTACCTGGATTCCAGAGTTGATGTTCACTTCGAGACTTGAACCTAGTACTGTTCACTTCAAACGCCATTGCGAACGGTACTGGGTTCAAGTCCCAGAGTGAACATCAACTCTCGAATGCATACACACCCAGCTGAAGAGTCCTAAATAGAACAAAACGCGAGTCCTGGATTCTACTGCTGGCCACCATCCATCTCTGCTTATAATGTTTTTGATTCAAGGTAATATCGAGGTAATCTGCACAGGATGCACATATGCCAACAAGAGACTGATCAATGGGAAGATCCAAAAAACCAATACAGAAATCGATTGTTATGTTTTCCTACATTTTTAGAGTGATGCAGATTTGCATACGACAATTACTATGAAACTATTTTAACAACCATTTGTGTATTTGAAAATATAGGAAAATAAGCAAATCATTTATCAACATACAAAAAAAAGAGCTTACGGTAGACGCTGACCATGATAAAGCGTTTATATATCCACTTCGTGTGAGCAAATTCTCCCAACTACCCAGATGCATAGAAATTCGATGCAGCAAATCGATGTAATCACATGGTAGAAAATAATGCCAACGTAACAGAAAGACTACTAAGCCAGTCAAGAAACAATGCTGAATGCACCACCAATAATCAATATATAAGTGTTCATTCTGTAATATAACAGAAAACAATAATACTAATCTATCGATTTGGAATAATACATTAGTCTGTTGGAGATGAACCAGCATTTGAAACTGGTCTTTACAAATTTGTGAGCCTGGCTTTAAAAACTAACAGGGTTCCGTTCGAGTTATGTATGTATTTATTATGTTTTCAGGCTTCCTTGAATAACTCTACACGCAATGTAGGTCAACGACTAATCTGTATCTTGACAAATAAAAGTGCATTTCATCCGTTCGATAAAGCTATACATATAAATCATTCGATAGACAAGCGTATGTGTGGAATTTATTAGCATCTCGAAAGCTGTTAAAAAATAAGCCCAATGAGGAGTAACGGAATATAACCCCTTCTCTGTACTGTTCCACACAAGTAGTAAGATTAGGAACTGCATTGTCTTATCTAGTCATTCTCCTAACTTTGGGACCGACAAAATTAAAGAAATAAAGCAAAATTCAGACCGAAATGATTTGGGGGTACAGGCGATATCGTTATATTGCACCAAAATAAATGGGATGTATTTGAGCAAACAAAATGTAGAGCACCGCTATCAGATTGACAGGACCTAGTGTTTGAGATCGAGTTCTTGCAACTGGAGTAAGTGTGAGTGATAACAAAAATGTAGCATAGTAAGGTAAATGCCTGAGGGGATTGTGATGTGTGACACCCTTAAGGTTATCGCAGAGTTTGTTGGGTTATAAAACATCGAACTTACAGCACTATGACGCTAGAAGTTATGACTAAACGCTTGTGAAATGTCTTTTATGAGTTACAACATACAGAGAAATAGAATTTTCAAGAAATGATATTTTTGTTTGAAATGTGCATACCTGGACAAATATCATTGGTAGAAAGCATCCATAATAAACTGCATGTAAGGTACCAATTAAAATATCCATTAACCTTGCATTAAAATCACGTCTATACAGTTCAACTTCTTCACGTATTTGTTCAGGTGTTGCACCTAAACACTGATGATTCATTAAATAATTATTTGAATCTACGTCACTTGTATAGTAGATGGTTTGAAATGATGGATGATCAGTTGATGCATGGAATTGTCTTGAAGGAACAAATGTATATGGCGTTGGAAAAAACATGTTCTCAATAGGTAAACATGGCCAATCCGTAATGATTGTGAGACATCGCCAACAGGATGATGTAAACAGCTATATTAGTCAAATTCACGAGAAGATAATAACTTATGGAAAGCGACAAAAATTATTTCCAGAAGTCTAATTAAACTTAAATGATAATTAGAAAATGTTTCAATATGAAGTTATCTATGTGAAAAACTGAAGATGTAAAGAGAAGAACTCAGTTGACTTTGAGAATTGGAACATAATAAAGAACAATTTCATTTGGATCATATCCGATTGTCAGTATAGGGTTGTGGAGGTTATTAAGTTTTTGATTGAGATCATGAACTGATTGATGTTAGACCACCATTGGAAACCTGGACGGCCGTTTCGTCCTACTGTGGGACTCCTAAGCAGTGCGCATCCACGATCTCGCTCACGGGATTCGAACCCAGGGCCTTCAGCCTTATGAACGAACGATAAAACTTTAGACCACTGAACCAACTGATCTCAATCTGTATTAAATTGAGTTTGTTAACCCTAAATTCCTGTTATCTTTATAGCTATGACTTTGTGGTAATCATATGGTTTAATAAGTTAAGTAGCATATATTTTAGATCGGTCTGACAGTTTAGAGGTTTGCTTGGTATTATTCTTGTTTGTACCCGTCACTGAGATTATATTTAATGGATTCATGCCTTAAGTATCTTGAAATATGTTTATCAGTTTACTTCACATATCTAAATATAAATTATAACCGACAATATGAGGAAATCTATAATCAAATAACTGAAAATTTCTTATCTTCTTATGAAGTAGTGAAACGTCATCAGTTGAGATGGCTGGGATATGTGTTACGTATGCCCAACCACCAAGTGCCCGACGTGCCATGTTTTATGGTGTAGGAGTAGGTTGGAAGAAAGCTAGGGGCGGCCACACCAAAACATTGCACAAATCCATGAAGTCACTGACAAGTGGACTGAACCATGTTGGTAGGCGTCGACTACCTGGTTGGGATCCGCGAGATGATAGCAACCGATGGTTAGAGACCCTGAATGACATGGCTCAAAATCGTTTGCAATGGCAGAGGTGTACCCACTCTTTGTGTTTTCCTAAATTCTAATCTTCTGAATTCTTCATGTCCCTTTCTTTTTTTCTCTTCCTAAATTTATTTAACTGGATTATACTCCTTGAATAACATCTTCAAACCCTAATGTTTCAGATTACTGCTTATACTCTTACCACCCCTACCACTACGGGATTTGAATCGACAATTGTATCTGTGTGGTAATGTGGTATGGCAACTTGAACTGATGTACGTACGTACTAAGTTCTAAGCTGTCACTGACTGACTTTAATGATAACTTGTGATAACTACAAGACAGACTTTGGAGAGTATAATAATTTACTGTAATGAGACGTTATAATTTCTAAAAGCTTAAACAAAATCAGTTCTTCTGAATAGATAAAAAGACTGGAAAGATTATTCATCTGGTGCTGAACAACTCTTCATTGTTTTATTTTAAGCTGCATAAGCGAACTTATTAATCGCTTCTAAACCAGTCTGTGCCATATCCCACTTTAACTATAGATAATAAAGTTGTAGGGAGAATCGGCTCTCGAATTAATCAATTGTATTATTTCTTGTAGGCCAAAAAAGAAACTCGACTAACGTTCCATATTTTATTGAGGTGCAGTTGGAGAAAAAAATGCGTGAAGAAGTGCGCTTCATCCTTCATACAGTCGTAAAATAAGGCGAACAAAAAGCTAAAAAAGCGACTATCCGTCCGACCAAAGTAGTCATAATGCCTGGTGAAACAACTAAATGGAAAATGTAGTGGACAATCACCGATTCTGATGTCGTACCTTGAGTTCTACAGAGAAATGACTTAAACTGATTCATAGTAAAGATAGATTTACTTTGTCTTTACTAAAAATATCTCACTTGGTATACCTAAGGACCGAAACAGTACTTGTTACTCCCCCTAATTGTATGGTGATTCAGATGCACGCATCAGTGAGATATTGAGTAATTGGATCATTTACTTGGTGAAGTGTACTGTCTACATATTCACCGCCCGGATTATTTTAACTGTATATATTATTTAATGCATTAATACTGACGTAAATGGATGGAGTTTGCCGGGATGAGACTCGTAATACACATAAAAGGTGCCCATATAAGCCACCTGGAAAGGTGAGCTGATCAGAAATAACCAAATAAGAAGATCAATTGGTGGGAATCAGAAGTGATCTGCGGGACAAGTACATATCATTGGCTAAGAGACGGATTGATTTCCTAGGGACTGGAAATGTTTAAATATAATTGAGTATTTGTGCATTTTATTCGGTAGCCCACCGTTCACTCTTTTGTTTTCGCTCAAGTAGCTAGGTGGCGGGTTAGCGCGTAGCACATTATGTATCAATATCGAATTTCGGACACCGCCTATCATAACAACATCAGTTTTTCAAGATGGTAAAATGATTTCAATTATCGTAAATGTGTCCGAACAAATATCACTGGACGTCAACAATCCTTCAGAAGCAACAATGATCAGATATACAGAGTCACCAAAGATTCTCAACTCGAAGGCCGGACTTCACTAGCGAAGAGTGAAAATGTTCTCACCGAAGCGTTGTAGATTTGACCTAGTAGTTAGTATTGTTCACCAGGTAAACATAACTTCCTACCCAACCTGTCTTACGTAAATTAAAACTGGTTGAATGTTAGAAACGTGCGATGATGACCGAATCGCATGGCATGGCAGATTATAATCATAGATATAATTTCATAATTTAACCCTGAATCGTTTCGTTCCTTATATACTATGAAAAATCATATGCTAATATGAGTTTGTTTAATATTAATACAAGCTTTCTGTTGAAGCAGAAAAACAGTCAATACAATTGTTGTACGAAGTTGACTCTACAAAATAAGAAATGGTATGACTTATTAAACAATCATAGTTAGGGTGTCCGTGAATCGGTATTTTAGAGAAATCCCTTATTTTCATTTAATCCCTCGTTCTTATCATCAGTATGGCTACAACCTTAGATAATCACAAATATACTAGTAACAACATCTGACCGATAATTCCAAACTAATGAAACCAGTAGAACTGAGTGTTCCGACTAAAACAGTTTGAACAACTTAGTTTAATGGGTAAACACAAAAAGATATGTAGCCGCCAATTGATTTTTATGTAATTCTCTACTTCACTTTGTTTCATTTATCCATATTTTTATAGGTATATCAACACAATTAATTGGTTGTATTTGATGAAAACTACGGACATGAACATGCCAAAATTATGCGAGTTACCTATCGTAAATACGTTTGCTTTGAATGGATTATTTAACATGTACCATTCTGAGCATAGCTATTATAACGCTGAATATATTTCATAAAGCAGAACAATTAGTTTGACGAAGGGATCGCTGTCATTTAGTAAAAAGTATAACTTTAGTACTGGGTGACGAAGCTCGACGGGATACTGCAGAAATCCATCGAGTTCTAGTTCGTTGAAAGGCATTTCCTCCTTCTGATTATTCTAAACCACTTGTTCTATAAACTAAAAGGTATTGAATAGACTGTAGGTTGGTACGTGGTAACAATATCCAATATATATCATACCATTACTTGATACATCATTAATCAAAGATGCGAAGAGAAACAGAGGAAGTGATTACTGTAACCACATATAATATAGGATTTAAAACAGTGGGGTTCGATGGTTGCATATATTACGAATTGTGCACTTTGAAGAACCCTGTTTATTGTTTACAGGTTCATAATGCGCTTTGTCGTTTCAAAGTGAATGGGGTAATTTTGAAGATATAAAGAGGTGTTGGAACTCATCACTGAGTCACATCACTATTATCAGTATTTGAAAACTTATTGATCAGGTTACATTTTGACCAATACACAATACTATATTATCAAAAAGTTTCACACTTTCAACCTGATTAACAATGAGTATTCTCGGTCAGCATATCACATATGTTCAAACTATCCTAGTTGATGATAATTTAAACTACGATCTGTTTAAAGGAGGAAGAAAAGAACGAATAAATCATTTGTTACACTGCTACTCTACAACTCATAATGACAGGTCAGAATGAAATTATTAATAATAATAACACAAAAGAATAGATAAAAAAGGCACAAACTGATAATCTGCATATACCTGTAGACAATTTCTTAACCTGAAAACAGACGGTCGATATACAACTCTTGAACTACTGTCGCCCCAATAATTATTATTAGTACTATCAGTACCATTTGGCTGATGATGACGACTGTCTTGACAAACGATTTTCTCCAAATAACGAGAATGGTAAACTAAGAGAGTCAGTATGGGACTGAAATGAATAATAAAAAAATAATTAAGATAAATGATTAGTATGTAATCATACACAAAGTCATCATGGAGCAGATGAATCCAATATATATCCTTATCTCAATCTTCCGATTTATAGTTTAGCCTAATACTTTCTTTTGAATTCGTCACATCGAACCGTATTTAGTCTTGCTCATTATCATTGGTATTACATTATTTTGATTCCTTTCACAATTCTTGTTGTTTTCATCTCTCCATGCTAATGTGTTTCGATAACTTGGGCCAATACACATCTGTACCAGTCTTTAATTTGATGACTTATTGATACAGTTCTAATTATCCAAATTTATGTATCAATATTTTTTAAACATGACATAAAAAATTACTTCCTGTCTTGCTAAATGTCCATATCGTCCTGAAGAAATAAGACCTGCTACGCACATTTAGTGAGTGAGCATCTGTCAAACTGAAAAATACCAAGTCTATGCAACCACATATTCAGTGTGTAAAACCTTAACAGAGAAACTATCAGTAATAAATATGAGACTTAAATAGGATCAAAACTTACAAATACGCCAGCAAAAATATTCCGGATAGGTGATACAAGATTGTTGTCCCGGAATATTCTATCCGATTTAAAATCCAGATCATGATGTAGCCCCAGGAAGTAAAAATGAGTAAACCCAAGACTGAGCGCATTATCAGTGATGTCATTATAAATGAAGGAAGAAGCTTTTTAAAAAAGCAAAAATATATTATTGTGTTCATATATGTATGTAGAAACGGGATTAGGGGAAAAAACAACGAGTTGTTAGCACTCACTATGAACCCGTCCACTTTAATCCCTTAGTTTGAGGCCTTGCTAATGGCCAGAGAAAGTTAGTACCAAATACACGCAACAACACATTGGACAGCAACTAATATGTCGGTTTATCTAAGTTATAGTGCTGATAAAACTCCATCAATGAATGTTTTAACACGATCGCCAAGTCTAATGATTCGGATTTGTACACAGCGATAGGAGGCAACTATCGTAAAATTCTACTTTTTAGTGTTCATCACCAAGCTCTGTTTATTAACTGCATAAAGTCAATGGTGGTTAAAATACAACCTGAAGATACGACTAATGTTATAATCAGACACATCTTTACTAGCGTGCGTATTCAGGTATATTTATATAGGTATTACTATAAAACAATGTTTTCTACAACATTTGTATATCCTTAGGTATGTTAACAGATGCACTGAACAGTAATTGAAAGTAGTTGTTCTTCAATAAACGGTTAAGGACTCAATTCACTCACAGAAACAGAGGATACTGACTGGGTGGTTGGTTAGTGAGAGAGAGCAACTAGAGAGAGAGATTAAAGAAGTAATAACTTCAGCATGTCAAAGGGTTTTGGGTTCCAAAAAACACCATCATGAACAACGGATCTTCGTTGACAGCTCAGTCAACAACAGCCGAACCAGAACAGAGAAAGCCAAAGCACACGTTGAATATACACAGGAAAAGCAGACAAAAGAGTGAAGAAGACCATTAGAGCCGACAAGTGGAAATAAGTAGAAGACCTGGCAACTTCAGCAGAAAAAGCTGCAAGAGAATGAAAATGAAATAATCTCATGATTCAACAAATAAGCTGGCACGGAAATATAGTAGACCCGATCGGACAGTCAGGAGGAAACAAGGTGAACCAATCACCGAGATCTACGAGGAAAGTGATAGGTAGGTAGGCAACTTGAACATAGTTAGATGGTTTGGAATTCGAGGTCTTCTTAGCCCCAATACATGCGTACACACAAATATTTTTCGGTGGAGCGAACCTATGTAGCTGCGGCTTCCTTCAAAATATTCATGGACATTTACAACAGAAGAAGCAAAATCTTGAAGCACAGTACATCGAGCATTAAACAACTCACACTTGGTGGAGAAACTCTCGAAAAGGTGAGAGCCTTTTTTACATAAATATGGTGTATCTGAAGCTGATGTCAATGTATTAACTGGTAAAGCAATTGTAGCATCTCTACAATTCTTTGACATTTGGAAGTCAAAGGAATAATCGCTGATTCAAAATCAGGATTTTCAATACTAGCGTTAAAACCATTCTATTGTACGATGCTGAGACTTGGAGAACTACCACAACTATCACCAGAATAGTACAGGTATTTATAAACAACTGTATAGAAAAGATACTACAGATCCATTGTCCGGAGATCCTCAACAATAACCTACTGTGGCAGTGAACAAATCAGGACAAGATGCTGGAGGTGGATAGAATACATATTGAGTAAACTGTCGAACTGCATCCCAGGACAAGTCGTATTTTGGAATCCTCAAGGAAGAAGAAAAAGAGACAAACGCAAGAACACATAGAGTCGGGAATCAGAGTTAGACAGCAACGACATAAACAGCACTTGCCAAAAACTACTTTAAGTAGGGAGTAGTAGTACATAAATTCTAATAAATTCGTTTCTCATTCCTTTCAAACGATAGATAAGGAAGAACGTATGTCAACAACTGCTATGTTTCCGTTTGAGTTTTTCAAGACTCAGTATACTAAGAATTTTTATGTTTCTTATAATAGCAGACGAGTACATGCATTTAGCATTCGTAATTATTCAGTCCAAATAATTCTAAAACATGATGGTTAGTTGAAAGATTTGTAGATTTGAAAAACAGGTGGCTCGAACACATCATTTAAATCAGATGACAAACAAACAGTCAGTCAGAGAGGGGTTTTGTGGACATTGTAGTAATTTAATAATTGAATTCGTGAGTCAATTGAAGTTAGACCACTGCTGAAGAGTTTCATACTAGGATGAAACAGCCATCCAGTGCTTCCAGGTTTTACTTGGTAGTCTAGCTTCAATTAACTCATGAGTTCAGTTATTAAAACATTCAATCATCTATAAAATTTAATTTAATTCTAGATAAACATTACTTCAATGAAGCGGAAAAGAACATACCTTAAGTACTATTAAATAGACATACGGAGTACACAGCATAAAGATTATATGGGCCGTAACATAATGGTCGACTGAGTCAAATTCCTAAAAATTGTAAAAGAATATTGTTAATCTTCAGGTTGAACTACGTGAAAAATTTAATTTTGAATTGACTTCTGATTTAGGAATATTAAAAATAATTATTGTGTCTAGTTTTGGTTTTACAGACCTTAGTGATGACCATTCTATATCATCAATTGATTGGAGAATGTAAAATATTGAGCTCTTATGGAATGAATGCATGATGAAGTACTCGAAGCTGGAACTGAAGATATAATATCTGGTTTCGTACAGAAATGAGGGTGTATATAGCTATGAACTAAGAAAATACGCTTAATTCAGATTATGTTAATTCATGATGACGGTATATAATATGCAAAGTCCGTCAAAGTATCACATCATCTGATGTGGTTGAGCAAACAGTTAGAGGTGACTAAAGGTTACAAATTCGCTCACTCAGTTGACACAGGACGTAACATTGACGTGAATAAAGCCTTTCAAGTTATCTATTTTGTTCCATTAAATTTACCACATGGCTTACAGGTTCGTCTTTTGTATATCCCCGAAGCTATCACAATCCACATCCAGAAAACCAACCTCTGTAATCAAAAGAAGTTTGTATAGCTATCGACAGAGGCCAAATAAAAGAAGAGCAAGCCTATTATTATCAACCCTAGGACTGAATATTCAAATTCTTTACTACGTATTTGTTACTTCTGTTGGACTTCTTATCATGGACTCAATCAATTTTACTGTTATTAATCCTTAAACCCCATATCCTATTCCATTCATTGACATATTAATGTCCTCGAATATTTGTCATCTATTAACTCCATCCTCTAATTGTTTTTTTTTCTGGCCATTTACAACTATTTTCGTAAACATTTGAATTTGTAATATTATCTAACACCACCAACTGACCGATATATTTTATTGTTAAATATATATTGCTGTAGAGCCATGATGACAAACCAATAGAAAATAAATATTCCATTACTATATTCGTCGTTTTACTGAATACCTGAATGAGAACTTTCACAACTCTAGGTTTATTTATACATTTTTAACTTACTACAGGGTATTCGATCGACGAATTCGGTAACCACCACACAGTTCTATACAGATACATGTGCTGAGTTAGTGTAGATGTTAAACACAGCATTAGACTGAGAGAAAGAAATGATATACGGGATAATTTTGGCACAACAGGAAATGTAGAGTGCTTCACTAATGGTACTGACGACACCATCTGCTCACATGCTCTATAATAAGATACATCAGAAAAGGGATAACAGGAATTTCTATTGGTACTCTTACCTTCGTGTATTGTTATTAACACCACCACCAATAGGTCCTAAACGTCCAGATGATCGTTTAATAGGCATACTATTTAAATCCAATTTAATCCCTTAATGTACAGTAAATTACATAGTTGGGCTAAGTAGAAAAATATACCAGGAAAATTGAGTACAAACTCAATACACATATATGTAAAGTGATTAATAGAAAAGCTAAGCAGAATAATGTGAAATTTTTTAGTAACAGTAAATATTAGCACACCAATGTAAAACTGAGTGAGAATAATACTTTCAAAGAAAGAAATAACTACTGGGCTACAGGCTGGAAACAGATAATCTCAAATTCAGTATGGCTAGTTAGGTAATATTAATACACCTTACACATGAAAAAATGAGACCACTTTTTACTTCGTGAGTTCGTTTGACCTTTACCAAGAAATGTATGAAACAGAAATGAAACATGGCAAAAGATAAAGACTAATCACTCAACGTGACTATTACAGACCTAGGACCATTCGACAAAACATCTTTAACTCCCCCCTCAATTTATGACCATATCCATCACTAGCTTTCCACTTAATTTGATTATTTGAAGGTCGAGGGAAATGTTTCATTTATATTGTTTACTCATTTCACATAAAGTTTCGTACAACCAGACATTAAAATAGTACGAAACGAGGAGTTAATATCGTGGAGTAATAAAAAGACCAGTTGTGTAACTAGAAAAATTACATGAACACAAAAGGATAGACACTTCAGTTAACAATGCAGCACAGATATTTATTACAGTTAAATTTCCTCCTTTTACATAAATTCACAAAACTACTGTAGGATCTTCAGTAACTTCTGTTGTGAACCTTCTCTAACAACATCTCAAGCCACTGAGTTGCATCGTCTTCAGGACCTCAACGACGATCCTACGCAACTTTATTTCATACTCCGGCACTATATTGTAAACTGACCATTTCTCTGTCTTTCCCACCTAGTCCTTGTATCGGCAATTAATAGATGATGTGCAATTCTCCAGAACGATATTCATAATACACGTCCAAGTCGCCAAAACAAGTCGTTCAAGATGGTAAAATGATTTCAATTATCGTAAATGTGTCCGGATACACATTACTGAACCTCACCATTGATTAACACGGTGTTGTCGCTGAACGTCAACAATCCTACAGCGACAACAATGATCAGACATAAACAGTCACCAAAGATTCTCAACCCAAAGGTTATGCTTCACTGGCAGAGTAGGAATCCTCTAACGAACGTATTGTACACGACCTTTCACAGCTAGACTAACACCACAGTTCACATTGATATATCTCGCCCTGACTTTTATCATGTGTATATTAGTCTATTCATTAACGTTACCAACCAGAAACATGAACATTTCTACTGATTCCAACGACTCAGCATCAAGAACCAGTGCGAACACAGGCTCCTGTCAAACTGACGGAAGTACCTTGCATTTTGAATATGCACAGTACATAGAATATCTACAGACAATGACTAATGATTAATTGAAGATTGGGTAGCATGATTTTCATCGCATAGTAAGACAATATGCACCCAATGTTGATGACTCTCTCTCGGTAACAAATGCAAATCACTACTGCCTACTTCCGTCAAAGCTGTTTTATGAGTGTTATTGACAATAAACTTGGAGAGAAATGGTGAGTTTGGGCAACTACCTAATCGCACTCTTCTTCTGGAACAGTTGGAGACAAATGGTGAGACTGAGCACCCCTACCTAGACTCACGGCTGCAATGGAAAAGCGGAGAGGTGGTTGCTCGCTATCACTGAATGTAGTGTTGGTGTACAATGCTTTTAAGATGTTAACAAAGTGTTCGGAACAGTCTTGTCCAACAAGTCGAAGGTGGCATCGATACAAAGAAACAACTATTGTTGCCCTAGACTTAACAGCTTAGTGTTTAGGGCGAAAATAACTATATTCTGGTCCCAATGGAGAGACCAATGGTGTACAGGTTCATTCAGCTAACGAGTCTCAAAGAAGGACGGAACATGAATCCTGGATTCCACCGCTGGCCGTAGTTTAGCCGACTTCTTCAACTTCATTCGCGCAAGGTTTTATGGATGGCACCACCAAAATAATATAAGTTGATTTATTAGGGCAATCATATCGTAAAGTTAATATAAGTTATTTTATTTAAACTCAAACCAAAGCACCATGAAACCTTTTAACGCACCAAGTCTATGTAGTTTTACATGAACTGGTATTCATGAGTAAGAATATTGACCGCAATTCATCTCACTACTGTTCTTTTACTGATTTGGAGAGTATACATGGACACAAGAAATCTGAGTATGCTAAGTTTGTATTGCGTATGGGACTTAATATGTTAACATATATAATCCCACAGTAACTGTTTACGAGAGTCTACGTAATGTTTACTACGACACTACTAATCATTTATAACAATTAATACTTCATGAAAAACCAATTAAAATTATAGCAATCAAAAATGATATGCATATCCAAAAGTTGACAATGTTATTTATCTGTCCTGAAGAGATTTTCAAGTTCTGTGATGAAAACTTTTCTAAATATACATAGTTATATAATCACTGGTCAGAATCAGATCTACGTCCGTGAATAACAACGTCAATAAATATAGACAATAAGCACTCTGGGTAAGAAATTGTGATCAGATAATCATGTCTCGAGACATGATTTTGCATGATCATGCTAGCTAGCCTGACTAGTCAGGAAACGTGAAAAATAAGCGGTGACCAGTCACCGCTTATGTTCCTAGGCCTAGGAAGTTTCCAGACAACTTACTCATCCATACAATAATACTTTAGCAAACTGTAAATTATGGCGAGACTATAATTTATGGATGAACTAACCACGTATAAGATAACATCTCGAATTTTGGTGGAAAAATCACTCATTCATTTGGATAAATAGTTTTGGCATTATAGCTGATGTCAGTTCGTGATTAAAACCCTAAACCTAATTCCTAACCTTAATAACCAACTGTAAATCATAATTTTAATTCCTCACACAGGCTTATAACCCTCTTCGGTCCTGGTTATTAGGTGGACACTGTCAAGGTCAGTCTAGCGTCTCTCAAAGGTCAACCATAAATTATACTATATCAGTTTTAAGATATTTTGAACCAGAATCTGGAGAGCCCAGTGGGAATCTAAAGGGATAAAACATAGATTACTGATATAGTCTACAAAAAGCTTTGATAAGGTTGAGTATAGCCTAAAACTACTGAACTACTTCACAGCAAAATGTAGTGAAACTATATCGTACTGTCGGGACACAAAAAAATTAATAAACTTCCAAAATTAACTATACTTTCATGTCTGTGACCTCGAACGTCCTGAATGATAGCGATGGTTCAAATGGTTATAAATGGAACAGAAGAAGCTTTCGCTTAACGGGTTTCCGTATCTAATAGAATTGGATCACCAACGACTCTAGGTAGAAACCTAGGTGCCCTAACGATAAAAGAGGAAAAGGAAAAATTTTAGTAAACCATAGTGAGATAATGTCCTCAATCTTTAAGAATACGTCGAGTTTTCCCCCAAAGGACTCCTGCAAAGTCTCTCAGATTAGCTCAGCCGGCAACCAATTCCAGTATTTGACTACTCTTAAGAAGCAGATGTTGTAGCGGTAAATAAATCCCCAAAATAAATAGCTCTGTAAGTTCTCAACATTGGATGCTGACCAGATTAGTTTTAGTGGACTCACCTAGCTGAAGGCGCTCGGTCGTGCATCCGCGCCAGATCACGTGTGGTAACGCTGTGCTCAACATCTACCGCAATCGCTAGCTAGATTAGATCAGAGAATTCCAATATATTGGTTACCGCCAAATACACTCTTCCAATCTCCCCGACTCTGTCCTTTGATTTCTCATGGTGGGTACGAATTATATTAGGTGTTACTGGTAGAAGCGTTGTCAAACACTGAACACCTGTGTCATCTTCATTGGTGAGACCGACGTGTTCTGGTACACCTAATTGCAACTGTGAGTCTGTTCCTTTTTGGGATTTTTATATATTATTGCCTTATGTTTTATTTTTTATACATTGTGATATTTTTTCCCCGTGTCTCAGGATATCTATATATTTTTCCCTCGTATTCCCGTACTTAATATTCCCTTATGACTAAACAGACTCCTAAGGTATTTAAGATTAAGACGATGTCCCTACCCTCATGGTGGGAACGAATTATATTAGAAAGTGTTACTGGTAAAAGCGTTTTCCAACACTGAATACCTGTCTCAGCTTCAATGTGTTCATAGTCCGGTCTGCTGTGATGTGTCTCCAGTTTTACCCCTAAGGTTTGCGCTGGAACTAAGCTTAAGTGTGTGTTTAAGGGGATACACAGAAGCGTTTAAGATGCTACAAGTCATCAGAAGGTCACATCTAAGACACCTGTACTCTAGTGAGTAAAAGTTCATTAATTTGAGTCGCCTTTATAAGGCTCAAATTTGAGTCTTCAAACTGATTTTGTGACTCGCCGTTGGATATATTCCAATATACCTTACTTTTCGGAACGAGGAACAAAAATACCATGCTTCCATACTATGACTGGGGATGCATAAAACCATCGAAAGTTATGTGGAAAGTTCTTCCATCGAACTGGCCGAAAATACGTCCCAACGTTACCAGTGCACGGTTTGCTCGGGAGGCATTTTTGTCGCAGTTAGCGTAATACCTCAGATCGTAGAGTACAAACGCTCCTAGATCTTTTTCAACTTGGGATACCTCTAGAGGAGAGTTACTTAAGTTGTATTCGTAGTCTGTAACAAGTTTCAAACGGACTACTTTACACTTTGAGGTATTCAAGGTAAGTCCGTTGTAATCTGCTCAACTTTGAAGTTGAGTCAGATCCTCCTGAAGTGTCAGTTTATCCTCTTGGTTGCATACTTCTCTCCAAAGTTTCATATTGTAGTGACCTACTTTTATCAAGAGAACGCGATTAGTGTAATGGAAACAATTGTTATTATAACCAACTGTGCCAGGGATTGTTTTACCATACTTGTTTGTTTAACTGTACCGGAATACATACTTTCTTCCCTTGATTGTGACCTTGCGCGAATTCGGTTACGCTCAGTAACCACACTTGTAACCTGGCACGACCTCGGTATTCTTTCGAAACCACGAGATCGACAACGAATACATCTCGACTACAGCCATCAACTGCCTCCCGATATTTGGCTTTCGGGGGGTCTTATCGGTTAACTGGCACCGCGACTCGAAGCCACACTAAAACATCATCATGGAAAAGTATCAAACCAGACGAACCCGCTGACGAAGGTCGGTTGTACAAATTAGGAATAAGGGTCTTATTACTGAATCCTGTGAGACCCCACTAGGACCTTTCGTAGCCTGAGAGAAAGTGAAGTTAACCCTGACCTTAAAATGTCGATTATTTAGATATGAAGTGAGCCAATCAGTTGAAAGTGATTTGGACGTATCACGCCAAGCAGACAGTGCATGAGTTGGGCGGAATTAGGAACAGCGTTGAATTGAATTCCGATACGTAGAAGAAACATATTCGTATGTGTTTTAGACTACTCCACTCACTAAATACATATAGGAAGTTGCTCGTTAAGTGACACCGGACTCAAGCGTACTTTCGGATGCAAACGCAAACCATAAGGTTTTAGAATACTTAGTAGATAGTGAAGAATGCAAATCTAAAGTGATACATCAAGTTCGAGTTTCCGAATAATTCCTCGTGGTTCGACAACTGAATAAGAACGTGATAAAGTCATACCGGATGATGCGTAATCATCGTTGGGAAAGTTTGTACGTGATTTGTGATCCGTAGATGGGGCAATTAGCTTCAGAGGAAAAGGAGAATCTCAAGCCAGTTGTGATCCGAACTCGGTCCTTAGATCAAGCGGCAGAATCAGATAGAGAATGGACTAGCAATGAGGGCACTATAACTGATTTGAATATGCAAGCGCAAATGTCTACAGGTAGGTGCGTACTCTTATGCTCTCAAACTGTGGTACTCAACTGAAGTCTTTAGTTTTCGAAGACAAAAGGTGGACTGAGATAATTTTCATCCGAGGACAGACTTGTAACTAGAATCTGCTTACACTGCTGTCATTAGATCACATTGCACAAACTAAATCCAGAAGTTGTCTGGATGGATTGCACTTACGATATCAACGACAAGAAGTAAGGATATAGTTTGATAACTTTTACTGTGTAGGCATTTGTTGTTTAAGTCAGTCGTAACTGATGAATTCGATCGTGGTCACCTGCTTTTACTTTCATGAACAGAATCGGATATCAAATCACCGACAGATTTTGTGATGCTCGTGTACTGATTGTTCACCGGAGGATCGCCAGTTACCATTGGCGAGTGCTAATTAGATATTTAAGAAATGCGTTTCATTGGTTCGCGATCAGCCGATTACCACTTCCTCATTCTACGTACACTTACGCGTTCACGTACTCAGTACAGAAATTGTCACTGGTAATTTCCTGTTGTGGAAGAAAAATGGTACACCTAATGATAACGAATGCACACTACAGGATCCGCAAATACCAACACGTCATAGAGGACCAAAAGATAAAGCTACAAAGGATGCTCACATCAGATCATTTGGAAATCGTGACAACAGCCATCGAGATATCATGCAAACGACATAGAGAACAAAAAAGAAACGCCTTAAAGAAAAAACCAATCAGGATCTCAAAACCGCCCGTGAAACAAAACACAAACAACTGCGTGATCAATCTGTCAAAACAACCACTAACAAATACGGAAGAACACCTGCTCCAAAAGGGATTAAACTACAGTACAAGCGACGCCTCAAAGCTGGAGTTCTTCGCAGCTCTAGAGTCATTACTCAAAACTTCCGGGATCAGTGAAGAAACACAACAGGAAATAAGGCAAACTATAGTACCGATAACTCAACAGGTGAAAGAAAACAACCAACTGGCTCCACAAGAACAAAACGCCTTGAAAGAGCTCAGAAATAGAAGGGATATTGTCATAATACCAGCGGACAAAGGACGCACCACAGTAATCATGGACGAAGAAGAGTACGTCAACAAAGCCGAAGAACTACTCGAAGATAAGATCACATACAAACTGATGGACACAAATCCCGTCAAAAAGATAGACAACCGAATCTCAAAGACTTTAAACAAGCTAGTCAAAGCAGGAGAAATAACAAAACAAGACCAATGGAGAATGAAATCCAGTGGACCAGTACTCCCTCGATTCTATGGCAGACCTAAAATGCACAAACCAAACATTCCACTACGTCCAAAAGTAGCGCTCCCCGGAACGACAACGTACAATTTGTCAAAAGAAATTTTACGAATACTGAGACATCTAGTAGATTCAGCCAAACACTCCATCAAATCCCCAACACAATTCCTGGACCAAATTAAGGATATTCAAATCAACAACGACGAACTCATGATATCCTTCGACGTAACAGCACTGTTCACCTCAATTGAACCACAGTTAGCAAAAGAAACTATATCCCTGCTACTCAACGACGACACAAATCTCACCAAATACACGAAGCTTCAAATTCAAAGTCTACTGGAACTCATCGATTTATGCCTAACAACATATTTTCAATTCAACAACAAAATCTACGAACAAACAAAGGGGGCACCAGTGGGATCACCAATATCAGGACTGATCGCAGAGACAGTGATGCAAAGACTAGAAGCCGCGATACTACCAGTGATCAAGCCAAAAATTGGGATTCGCTGTGTAGACGACACTTTCGTCATCGTCAAAAAGAATGGGGTGGAAAACACTTACAAACTGATCAACAACGTTTTCAATTACATCAAGTCCACAATGGAACAGGAGTCAACCTAAGAGCTCACAAAATCAACCGCGTACACACATTGTTCAGGAGGGCGGGACACACTGCAGCACACTGGCAGCACGAAAAAATGAAGAGAAATACCTGAAGAACATATTTCAAAAGAACGGCTACCCAATCAACTTCATCAAAAAGCGCCAACGACACACAGCATCAGAACCCAAGTCAAGCACAAAAATCAACAAAAGGATCACCCTACCGTACATACAAGGAATATCAGAAACCGCAACGAGACTGCTGAAAACCTTCGGGATAGGTGTGGCACACAAACCAGCAAAATCACTACAACCAATCCTATGCAAACCAAAGGATGAAATAACAAAGGAAAACAAATCAAACATCATCTACAAAATAAATTGTACCAACTGCGACAAACACTACATCGGACAAAGCGGACGCCCCCTACACCTACGCCTACATGAACATCACTTAGCAGTCAAACGCCGTGATATCTCTTCACTTATATCAATACACGTGGATAACTACGGACACTCATTTGATTGGGAAAACGTAGAAATCTTAGACAGAGGAAACTCCAAAAACACCAGAGAATTTTTAGAAGTCCGTCACTCAGGTCAATCAGCAATCAACAAACATATTGAAATCAATCCAATTTATCAACTAATCAGGAAAATCATGCATAAATATAGGAACAAAAATCAAATCAATGGAGACACAACCAAAACAAAGAAGTAAACAATGATAAATTTAAGGTCAATAAGAACCAATCAACGTCGAGGTGTATAGAACAAGCTGTGAAACACATGTGGAGAAATTTGAACACTTCACTCCTATCTGAAGTTTGTGCTGATGGTGTCGTTCAGAAGAACGATGAAAGCTCCACGATGAAACCATCCAGCTCAGAGAACAAAACTCCACCAATTTCTTGTTGTTCTTATTTTTCGTGTTATGATGCATAATTAAACTGTTCTATGTGAACGATATTTGTTTTAAATGTCATCATGTCTGTAGCAATACGGAGACTGAGATAATTTTCATCCGAGGACAGACTTGTAACTAGAACCTGCTTACACTGCTGTCATTAGATCACATTGCACAAACTAAATCCAGAAGTTGTCTGGATGGATTGCACTTACGATATCAACGACAAGAAGTAAGGATATAGTTTGATAACTTTTACTGTGTAGGCATTTGTTGTTTAAGTCAGTCGTAACTGATGAATTCGATCATGGTCACCTGCTTTTACTTTCATGAACAGAATCGGATATTAAATCGCCGACAGTTTTGATGACTTGATTTTGTAACAATAAATACACTGTAAGAAATGAACTAACTTCAATTTGAAATTATTGATTGATTGGTTGAATGAATAGATTTATTTTAGCAGTTTCAGTTTATTAGAAGCTAAATGAGCTGAGAATATACGGGCATTTTGGTCAGAATTTTACTTTAACGACAATTGCATTCAATTAATTAAGTCTAGTACAGAGCGCTAATTTTTTGTTAATGATGGACTAGTATGACCAGCAGGGTTGAGGTCAATGATACGAATCTTAGTCAATGATGTTCGACAACTGTGTCTCCTTGAGGTTGTGGATGGTATGTGATTACTCGGATCCTAAGTTGTTGGTCCTAGGGACTAAGCTGTCGAGCGTGACTTAAGGTGTACCGTTGTAAGCACTTTAGCCTATCAGTATTCTGAAACTGTGTTAGTGATGCCTAACCTTTGAATTGATATTGTTAATTCATTCATCCGTGAAAGGAACTACTGTTCTTTCGGTCGAAGGTTTTTCGGTAAAAGCTAAAAATATTTGACTGAATAATAAAACGTTATATTAAATATTAAGAATTTTGGATGCATTCGTTTGACACGTATTTTGAACTTGTTTGTTTATAACTTTGACCTCGGATGTTTCGGTTTACTCTTTTGAACGTTTTGCTTCGGAGACCTGAAAATTGAATGTTTGTTTTGTAATAATTATAATTATTGCTAGGACGATAAATGTGGGTTCATACTTGTAATTTACGAATTAACTTTGGTATCTGAATTGGAAATTGGTTCTCTTGTTGTTTGGGGTCATAATTTACGAGTGGATCAATCGACCGTGCTTCAACTGGAGCAAACTTTTAGCGTAATAAAAATGGTCAAATGAGTTGTGAATAAAATTTAACATATTAAGTCGAGAGGAAATCTCAGGAAATAATAATACTATTTGACGGAAATGCAGGGTTATTCAGAACATTTTTCTGTTGTACGCAACTTTGAGATACCACTCTATATAATTCACTCCGTATCACATTTTCCAAAAGATTGTTCTTCTCTCCGATAATCAGGCGCATTACTACGCTAGCATCTTCATAAATTTGGCTTTCCTACGATACCACAGACAGCAAACGTTTTCTTGACGACTTTCAGATGTTCCATAAACACATATCACTTATCATGGGAGGTAAGGATGGTAGTTTGTCAACTTACTTCCCTTGAAATTCGTAAGATTTTGTCTCTCAGGATAAGTCTTTATTCTCTTCAACGACTACCACATCTCACAATCGAGATTCCTTGACTGATTGTGGAGAGTCATCCCCAAACCTCAGTTGCGAGAACATTGAATGAAATAACTTTTCACTCAGTAGTTCGTAAACAGATAATTCACTAACCCTATGAGTGCTGTTCAATTATGGCCGATTATAGAAAGCTCAATATTCCTTAGATATTAGTGAAATCCTTCTTGTTCATGTCACATTTATTTATTACCACTAACTTCCAGATATGGTTTTTCTACTTATTTATTGTCCTACCAATAAAAATCCTTCTCATACAGGTCTTTGTACAACCATCAAGCTCCAAGCAGAACGATTTTACCTGCCTGATATGAATCAATACATGAGGTAGTGAAAACGCTCCTGTGTAGGCTGCTGGAAATCTAAGATTGTTAGACGCAACAAATGTCCCTTGGGCTCATTCAAAATCGCTGACGCTTGTTTTGATGATGTCCATCTGGATTTGGTAGGACCCTTACCAGATTCAAACGGATACTCTTACATCTTAAATTATGCAGATTGTTTCACTCAATGGTCAGAAGCAGTACTCAACAAAGACATTACTGCTGAAACACTGGTCTGCACTTTCGTCGAACGGTGGGTAGCAAAGTTTGACTGACCTTTGACTATCACCACGGATCGTGGACGCCAGTTCGAATCCAGACTTTGTCGTTGTTTGACTACATTATTAGGAATAACGCGATTCCGAACGACCACCTACAGGCAAACGTGTCAGTGGAACGATCCCACCGACAGCTATAAGCTTCCCTATCAGTCGCAAACGCTTCACAGGGGACGGACGCTCTTCCAATCGCCTTACTTGGTATTCGCAGTGTATTGAAAGATGACACTGTGTGCACTGTAGTGCGACTCGTTTATGGAATGACACTTCGACGTCCATGAGACTTCGTGGATCCTTTATTTTCTTCAAGGAATATTTGCGGGCAGGCTTACAAACTCAATGCGTTCAGTTAAGCCTGTTTCCACTCGACCGCAGTCAACTGATGTTTTCATTCAACCTGCCTTCTGACATAGTTCACGCATCTTCGTACGTTGCGACTCACTTCGACGACCTCTCAAAACAGAATACAAAAAACCCTTCACTGTTCTTCAGCGTGAACCTAAGCATTATATAATCAATAAGAACGAACTAACGATAGCATCAGCATCGATTGCATCAAAGCCGTGCATTTAGAAGAAAAGCGTATTCATGTCGATTTTCCTTCGGTGCGACTGAAATACACAAGTCCTACATTTATGATACCTCATCCTATAGTCACAAATCACGATGATACTTTGAGAGTACCTGAAAACAGACTCAAAACAACACGTTCTGGAAGCAGAGTAATGTTTCCAGAACACACAGGCGATTATTGCACGTTAGACATTGAATAACATTTTTTTCGTCTAGATTTTTCTTGGTATAATGTTTAGGTTATTTATAAGGGAACACAAGCTGTCAGAATTCGAACCACACTATCTGGTTGGATCTCAACGACTAATGGAGCGTCACAGGCTCAATTGTTGGACCACTTCTTTTCTATTTGTTTGGTAACAACTTACCTTATACCCCAGACTCTTAAAGTGTGTTATGTACATATGGCCGTAAGACTTGGAGAAAGGTACTAGGTCAAAATGACGGTATATCTCTTCAGAAAAACAAGACTAGGAGATATGGCTAAACCAAAAAACTCCGTCCTCCTCGATACCATCACGTACTGACTGCTAATTGTCAACAAAGGTAATACTCTTCTCTCCAGGGTTTTTCTCTAATGGTCAACTTGTTGTGCAGATTTAGCCTGGGATTATTAGAAGTGCTTAGGAAACTTGTTTGAGCATTCAGTAAAAAGATTTATCGCTTGCGTTCTTAATTTTTAAATATTTTTCTTGGACGTATCGAAGCGCCAGGCAGCTTGTAATTGAAGACAGGTAGAAAACGTTGGTAAGCATTCAATTTTTACAAACAATACTACTCTTTTACTTCAAGTACAAATTAGCCCTATCATCCACCCCCTAAATGTCGCGAAGATTATAAGACTCTATTTCTTTGATTTTTCTGTCTTGTTCGTGTATGCTTCAAAACACGCTTGGCAAAATTAAGTTAATCCTAGTGAAAAGTCACTACAGTCAGCTTTTCAAGTAGTCCAGCGGTACTGAAGCTCATTTAGTAGGGAAATACAAGTTGAGAGAATAAGTAATTTCACTAAGATCATGGATACGGCGATAATCAGGTAATCTGTATCTATCGGCATCTGACATAAAGTCATTTCAATCCTTTACAGCCACTGAGTAAGACAAGACGGGTCGCTACGCAGTGCGCTCTCCCCGCCATAACACTGTCGTAAAAAGCTGAAAGTTATATAAAGGAATCGATGGAAAAATGAAGGTAAGTTACGGTTCCAAATATAGCAGTGAATGCTGTTACTTTGTGTCTCACTCTCCTATCGGTTTTATGATTAACAGCTACAGTGTTAGCTGAGGAGTTTTTAGGTCCACTTGAAAGTGATTGAAGTGAAATCGAATATACTTTCAAATGGATTTCTTACCTCAAGCTCAGGGCAACACGTTATAGACCATGTGTTTCATCGTATGAATGCAAATGTTGGATAATTTCTGTCGTACTCTAGACCCTTCAGAATGCTAATTGAGGAGGATCACCTCATCTGTGACATTCCTTTAAGGGTATGTCAACACATTACGCAGCATTGTCTGTCTGACTGCCCAAGCTTACAGTACGTAGCTGATACTGGCGAGTCCACATTGCCTTCCTGTTACTTAAGTGACCTCTCATGTATTCATAGTCCCATAGAAGATGTGTTCTCAGGTATTAGTTTTAATGAGCTAACCTGAATATAATTGATCATGAAAAGCGGAGCTTACACATCAGGTCGCCTTCGTTTTACGGAACATTCCGAGAATTTGCAAACAATAACATAGTGATGTTTACTTACACTCGATTATTTGCTACGACTAGCTGTGACAGTGAAAACCTCTAAATAAAAATGTTATTATTGGATACTTTGTCAATCTCGCAGGTCTGTTAAGCTAAATTAATATAAACAACTTCTATAAACGAGTGATTGCCATTTATGTGCTCTCAACAACCGAAACAAATCGAAGGTATATTCTCATTTCATAATACTTTACCTTCTGTACCAGACTGAACTCTCCATCAGACATCGTTGATATGTTCAATGTCCTAAGTAATTTGTTAGATTGTACAATTTGCAACCTGTACACAATTGTGACATTATTTTTGCAACATAGTCCATGGTGAGATGAAACCTGCAAGAAACCGAATTTTGAACGCTATGAGTTGGTATATTACTCAACAAAAGCAGCTTCAAGCGCAATAGTTTAATTGACACAGTCTCATTTTTAAGAATGACACAAGTACACCCTTCTGTGCAATAAGAATTCTGAACGGTTCTAGTGGAGTCGAGATTTAGATTACCATTAAAAGCTTAAAACCAATATCCAGATTGGCAGTAGCAGTAATTAAACCTAAAACATACATTTATTTGGAATGAGTTATACCTGGATGACAGATGTCGCCTTCATTGTCTAAGTTGTGGAGATGAGTTGGGAGGCTTATGGTTCGAATATTATTAACCACTTACTATATAAATCCTGAAGACAAGCACCTGACCCTAATGCACCGTGCTTACGCTCATATGTAAAATATATTTGACGAAGAAATACTTCAGAGTTGGGTCAAACTCATTCTTTTCACATACCGATATGACATATTTGATGTGCGTATACCGTGTAAAGATTTATTATTCGGCGTGTCTTCAGTTATTTAGTCCCTTCAAGTGGATCTCAAAACTATCTAAATTAATAAGTCGTCGAAGCAGCATAATGTCGTTGAATATTCACCATAAACCATGAGTTTTCCAGTATCATCCATTTCGTTACTTGGAAGAAGAAAGTTAAAGATTAGTGTGGCTGAACTCAACTAAACTTTGTCTTGATATGACTGCTTTCAAAGAAGCTTATTAATTGTCGGGGTTTTCGGATGTAGGTCTAGGCCGGTATTCATGAATCTGTCTGTTATGGCAATCTCAAGAACACCGAAATCCCGTCAGTAGTTCTGAAATCCCTTCTGGAAAGGTAACTCCAAGCATCTTTCTTCTAATCTAATACTCAGCATGGCATCTACGTTTTTTGATTAGTTGTTATTTCTTATGGTTTGCTACATATCAGTATGCC